AAAAGTCGATAAAAACGAAGAACAATAAAAGCACTTGTGAATAGTTAAAGGAAAATGAGTTTCTATTGAGTTTTGCATTTAGTTTCGCAGTCAATGGATTTTTGGGTAAAACTTTAATTTAATTTTTTAATTTAATTTAATTTAAATTTAATTTAAAAATTTTAAATTTTATAAATTTAAAATACAATGTAATGAATAAAACTTAATATAAAACTAAAAATATTTACTTTAATTTGATGATACATAAATATATTTAAATTAAATATATATTGTTTTTGGATAAACCTAAATAGCTAAAGTTGGTAATGCAAGCATGTGTAGATAAAAATTCTTCTCAGATCACAAGAACGAACTTTGTCAAAAACAAGATGATACTTTTAATATCATTTGTCGATCTGGGTAAAAAGGAAGAATACTTCACACTTTTATGTGAAAGGTTTAATGCTATCTGTGCAATTAGAGTCAGTTGTTAGCAAGATATATTTACTGTGGTCACAATGCTAGGTATATTATGAGGATAAAACCTTTTGTTATTTTATTTCGTATTTTATTGTACTTATAAAGAACTAGCTTCACTGAGAGTCTGAGAGCCTATCTTATTCAATTCTATATTTTATTCTATATTCTATTCAGCGTATATCTACTGCATTAGACAATGAAACTAATTGTAAGTTAATTATCAGTACAAGAAACCTAAAAGCTTGTCGTGTTCTATTTTATATTCAACTGAAGCGATATCCCTGCAATAAACTGAAATTCAGAACAAAACATTTATCGTAGGTGTAGTGCTCTAAAACACTGAAGACAAAAAGTGTATTAGAATGTTAGATTCTATATTTAACTGAATTCATTTCCACTGTATAAGTTAAAGTATCTAACTATGATTTCTTATTAGCACATAATATCTAGTTGGCAAGGAAAAACTAAGAGTGTAAAATTTTTAGCAAGTCACAAGAACACACCTGATACCAGTCAGTTGCTTTAATTAAAGCAGAACCATTTTAGTACTACAGTAACTGATATGTCGCTGCATGTTAGTGTAAGATATACAATAAAACTTGGTTAACTCTTTGAAAATTTTGTAGGGATTTTGTAGGATTGTAGCTCTGCGGGTTAGGCAAAAACTGCAGTCTATCTTATGCGTTAGTTTTTATTATTGTTGAGGAGATTCAAAATCTATTTTCTTTTCTAACTGGCTTGATAAAGCTGTCAGCCTTTAAAATTATTGAGTTTATAGATTTGTCAGGTGATTCCCTCTTCTACTGCAATGAGAGAGTCAAGCTCTCTCAGGATAATACACTGTTCGTGTATTAAATATTGGGGACTTCAACCATTAAGATGGTTCTTCAAATTGGAGATACTGACGGTGTTTTATTCATGATATCACAACGGTGCGCAAGGCTGTTACTTTATATCATGGATACGCTGTTCGTACATCAGATGCAAGGACACTACAATATTGCAGAAATCTATAACCTTTATCAAAGAAATGATGTTTGTGCATTAGATATTGGAACTTCTACCTTTAAGGTAGTTCTTCAAGTTAGAAGTACTCACAAAGTCCCATCACTGAAACCACAATGGCGCAGAAAACTGTAAGCTTTCTCAGAGGGACGCTGTTCGTGCATCAGATGTTGGGAGTTCTTCCTTCAAAATGGTTTTTCAAGTTTGGAGTACTGTCAGAGTCCCATCAGTGAAACCACAATGGCACAGAAGGCTGTAAGCTTTCTCAGAGGGACGCTGTTCGTGCATCAGATGTTGGGAGTTCTTCCTTCAAAATGGTTTTTCAAGTTTGGAGTACTGTCAGAGTCCCATCAGTGAAACCACAATGCCGCAGAAGGCTGTAAGTTTTCTCAGAGGGACGCTGTTCGTGCATCTGATGTTGGGAGTTATACCTTCAAAATGGTTCTTCAGGTTTGAAGTACTGACGGTGAAACCACAATGGTGCAGAAAGTAACATAATAAGCTTTCTCTAAGCTTATTAGGGAATCGTGCATCAGATGTTAGTTTTTACCTTTAAGTTGGTACTTCCTGATACACAGTCAGGTCTCCAGTACTGACAGTGTCTCTTCCATGGTATCACAACAGTGCACAAGGCTGTCAATATTTCTCAGGAGGTGCTGTTCGTACATCAGATGTAAGAGACTTCTACCTTTAGGGTGGTTCTTCAAATATGACATACGCATAGTGTTTCAGTCGTGATTTCAAAAGGGCTGTCAGCAATAGTTGTGTGTTAACTAAAAAAGGCTGTTAGTTTAACCTAATCTAACTATATACATAATTGAAAATTATGTTTAATAAATGTATAATAAATAATTAACATTTACAGTGCTACTATATGTAGAGAAGATGTTGAAAATTCGGCAAAGCAAAAATAAATGTATATATAAAAATTGGATAAAGTACATGATTTAAGCTCCAAGGAAGTTTTCAAGAAATTAATAATAAAAATTGTTCTCAACATTAAAATTTCACAATCGCGCATTCTTTTCGTTCGTTCAGTTAAACATTGAAGTTTAAAAATTGCCAAGAAGCATGCAATTTGCTCATATTTTCCACATTTTTAGTAAATTATTATTTATATTATTTTCTTGCTAGTTTTATGCTGGCAATACTTGAAGATTAAAATCAAGTTTATAATTTATTTATTTTTTTTCTGTTTTAGAACACTTCAATGTGTTCCGTTTCATTACGTTTCAGTCTTTTCATTCGAACTGAAATCGGAAAGCGGGAAGCATTAGTTTCGGTTTAAGTTTTGTGCCATTTTGGATTTTAGTTAAAAGCTCCGCACAGTTGCACTAGCGCCAAACTGCGGAAGCCACAAAAATGTCCTCGTTTTTTGTAATTTTCCGGTGGTTAACATTGCAGGAAACTAAAGAATTTTCCTTCATTTACTTTCATATTCCCATTCTATGCTTTTTGCTGCTGTATTGTGTAATTTTTGTTGGAAATGAGAATTAATAGACGATGAAGCTACACATTTTCGGTAAATTCATTAATTTATCATTATATTTTTTCGAATTGTTAAATTATTTTTTTCTATTTTGTTTGGTATTTTGTGGCTTTCGGTTCGAGTTTGTTAGTAAAACTAAAACTGAGGTGGCTAAGACGAAGGACAATCGTATATTTTTTGTTTCCAGATTAATGGAAAAAATGTGGATTTTGTTGAAATTGAGGAAAATGTACATTTTTGTGGTATTAGTTGAGTTTAGTTTTCAAAATTAGAAAACTTATAATTGAACATTATTATAATATAGAAAAGTTAGAAAACTTTTATTGAAATTTATTGAAGAAATGTTAGTAGTTAGAATATAAGTATATGATGTGTTTATTGAACTTAAAGACAATTCTGTTTTAAATACTAAGATCTTAAATAAATTCGTGGATTACCACCTTTTCGTCAATAATACAACTAAAACTTTGATGACACTTTAATATATTATCTTCTATAAGAAAGATAGCAGATTTTTTTTTCAGATCTGACAATTTATTTTTTATTTTAAAGCCATTTAAAGATGACTTAATGTATTTCTGTGTAATGATACTGTTTAGAAATTAATTTTTTATATTGATATTCGATATTAATTTCTTCAACAACATCTAGAACCCTTTAGAAGCACAAAAAAAAAAAATTTTGTTCATCATCTTATCACTATAGATTATATTTGATTATATTATATTAATTTCTTCAACAACATCTAGAACCCTTTAGAAGCACCAAAAAGAGTTTTGTTCATCATCTTATTACTATAGATTATATTTGAATATACCACCATGTTCTTGTCTCAAAATAAGAGACTGAATTGTGGTGTAAATTCAGCTTTTCGACTCAAATGCAAGTTCGTATTCCAAAATTTAACAAAAATTTCTTGCGTTTTTTTTTTGATAAAATAAATTGGAAGATAAATACAAATACATTGGAAGATTACGTCCAAATTGATAAAACAATAAACTTCGATTACATTATCCAACAAAAATTAACGTTTCTTACAACGGTTAATTTGAAGCTATTAAGTTTAAAGCCGCAATATATTTCTTTAGTCGACATCTTAGTCTCTAGCCACAATACGTTAAATTTTAAATTAGAACTGTTAATACAATATCAAAAAATTCTGGTCACACGGGTTAAATTTAAAAATTAGAGTCTTAAAATGTTAATAAAAAAAAACTTGCTACATGCAAATAAAAAATATTTTTTTTAAATATCGTTTCCCAATTTTCTTCCAAACTCCTAACTCCTAGAATTATTCAAATTTAAATTTGCAATCCATTTTTCTCGAGGACATCTGAGTTCTGGCCACAATGGATTTAATGTCAAATTTGGGGTTTTAAAGTGTTAATAAAACAATCAAAAAACTTTCTATAAACAAATGGAAAAGCATTTTTGCTTTAGATACCCTTTTCCAAATTCCCCCCCTTTTACCTTAAAACGCTGATTATTTGAATATATATTAAAATCAGTCTGTGATAATCTGATTTTAGAGATATTTTGTAGGAGAGTCTACTAAAAATTAAAGGATCGTTGGTAAAACTATACTAACAAAAAGAGAGATCATTCTAAAAAATCAGGTAGTTCTTACAACTAAAATCCGGTTATATAGTAAATCTGAATATTATATTGTAAGTCAAGTTCAGTAATATTACTAGAGAATAAATCAATTTATTTGTATTCTAATCTTAGAATACATGTTATTTCGATTCATTCTTCTTAATACATTGCAGATATATATAGTAATGAACTATGTACTTGGAACAAGAATTCACTTTCTGAATTTATAACATTAAGATCAGAGATATTTTTTATACTTAAAAGCAAATTTTCAAGATTAAGTAAGATTTAAAGAAAGATATTTTTAGGTCGTTTACATATATTGGACAAAGTTAACATTTGCTGCGTTCGAAACTTATGCAGAGTTTCGAATAAAGCAAGAACCCAACTTTTAAATTAATAAACAATAAAGCCTCAAAAAAAATTGTTATAAAAATACATGATTTTAAAAAAATTCTTTTCTTCTTCGGTAGATTCAATTTTAAAAAATTTTTATAATGCATCAACTAGTCTTCGGGCTTGGGCTTAAAGCGACACCGCTTAAGATGAGCTTTTCGACCACCAACAGTTACGACAGTCTTACATCCCTCATTCTCGCACTTTATTTTAAAACTTAGGTAAGCGTTGTACCGCTTGCCTCTAAAATTTTTTAAGTGCATCAAATTAAATGCAGTACGACACACTGGGCAAGAATTGTGGTTCTCTCTCCATTCCACTATACATGCCTTACAAAATGTATGGCCGCAAACTTTTATTGTAGATGGGTTTTCATAGCCGTCGAGGCATATGCAGCACTCAAAATTTTTAAGTGTAGTTTGGTCTTCTAGAAAGTCGTCAATGTTAATACCCATTTTTATTTTTTGTGCTTGAGGCGATCGAGGATATCTTCTTCCGAAAACAAACTTAAATGTGAAGATATTTGTTAGATGCTTAAATTTTTATTTAAGAAAAGTATTTATAATTACTTTAGCCAAATTTTTTTATATATATCGCACCCTTCGTTTTCGCTTTATTTTGGTCGAAATGGCTTCGCAAATATTGTCGGCATTGCCAACATTAAATATTTTGTACTTGATGCGCTATGAAGAAAATAAACATATTTTGTCATATGTTTACCAGGTTATGTGTATTATATATATAATATTTTCAAATATTTATTTAATAATTAAAATTAAAATAAATTTTATAAAATGTAGTTTATTGGACTATGCATTAATTAAAAACACTAAAATTCATCTAAATTATATACATAAGTTATATATGTTTGTATGTATATTTAAAATATTGTTTAAAGTTTTTCAAAAGTTTCTAACATATACAATACTAACTAGAATTAGTGGCGACTATTTGCTGATGACTATTTCTAAAGCGGTGTAAAGATATAGCGAGTGATATATGCAGTGTAAGATAGTTACGAGTATGTGTTCAGATTTTCAAAAAAGTATTGGATAAAACCAACTATTGTTAAGATCTATGCAGGATTTAAACATACATTAGATATAGATGGACCTGTATTAGCTGGATTTTGTGTTATTAGGTAGGTTTAAAAACAGTTAAATACTATTGGAACATTCTATCGATCGTTGGCTGCCTATTTTTCAACTAGTCCAGATTTCTAAATTCTAAACCATATGCCTTAGATTTTTTATTGAAATATATGATCAGATATTCACATGGTACTTCTGTCGTATTACTTGAGTAAGTAAATTTTCTGATGCCAGTGTATCAATAATTTATATTATTTAATAATATGAACCAATTATTTCTCAATTACCTAACACGTCGTAGATTTTATAAATATAATGCATTAAAAGTTTTTTGTACTTACATGTAGCGAAAAAATACAGATGTATATATATATAATTTTTTTTTTATAATGTTGGAAAAATTTTTAATGAAAATATTATATTTAAAAAACTATTACTTATTGGTTTAGTTTTTAATAAATTTGCTTTTGATTGGTTCCTTTGATTTAAAAAAATTATTAAAATAAAAAGGTTTTTTAAATAATAATATTAAAGTATTCCCGCCCTAACAATCCTTAAATCCACTTCTGGACTCTCAGGAAGATATGCTGATTTAAGGTCCGTCATCAACTAAAAGACAAATAAATGATATGATTTCTTAGCCTAGTTAAAGCCTAGTGTGGGGTAGAGATAAGCCCCCCAGCCATTATAGAGTAAAAGCGCGTAACAGCACTAACTCAAGAAGAAGAATCAAGAAGGACAAGAAGATTAAAGTAAATTTAAAGTATTTTAAGAACCATTTTAAGGTGCGATTAAAAAATGAAATAAACATATTTCACAAAATATTGTTATTAATACATAGTACACTTATTACATTATTATTATATACATTAATTACACTTATTATTATATACTTATTATATACACTTATTATTATATACACTTATTACATACTCCTTTTAGAAGCTGAGGGTTCGACGAGAATTTTAACTTTATAAACGATACACTAATATCCTGGTACATAGTAACATATACTGAAAGTCTACTTCTTCACTGGTAAATATTAATATTTGTGTAGCAAATGTCCTGCCCGCTTTCTTGATACGAAATTTCATATACCTACTTTTTACACCCCATATGTGCAGTCAAAACAATCTTTCATTCATCTATTATAAATTATTCTGATTTTCTTTAGTCTATTTTTATTTGTAGATCCATTTTGTTGATTCGCAATTTTTACTACAAGTGATAAAGGAATAAGAGATCTCTATTTTGTGTAGCGAAAATTTCAACTAAACCTGTGACCCATCGCGCAGCATTCAAAATTATAATTGCAGAAACAATGTGAAGGCATTGAGTAGTGCCTTTATATACTCAAATTTCGCATAGTAATATGCGATCGTATGCTCTGAAAGTCCTTTTTTTTTGTAGTTTTTTAGGGTACATTTTTTTTGACACTCTATACCTCGATTAATATTAAAAATGGATTTGTAATCAATAAACATAAAATTTATATTGAATAATTTAAGCTTGTAGTTGAATAATAAGCTTAAATAAAAATAAAATTTAATATACAAATGTATTGCTTAAGATTTTTGTTTTTTTCTATAAATTAAAATTAATATAATTTTCACATCTAAACTTTTTTCTATACATAGAACTAGACATAATTTCCTTTCTTTCTTTTCTTTGGATAAAATAATCCAAATGAGAAATCTTTTTGTAAACGTCAAAGAACTTTGTTTCTTATCAAAATATTTTCCTTTTCTTAATTGTTTAGTAAAATTCTTCATTTCGTCCTTTTGCATGATTTATGATTGACTTTTATGAACTCACATTTTCATTCTCATTTTCATTCAAGAAACCATCGATTAATCTCAATTTATGTCAAACTAATTTCATGTTTCAAAAATAATCTATTATATTTTTAGTATGCGTTTGTGTTGAGTGTTTAGTATTAGGGAATATACATATCAACATGCAAATCTACTTAAAGATTAAATTAGGAAAATATTGTTAAGTGTAACAAAATTCGTGCTGACTGAATTATATTAAACATTTAATTAAATGCTTAATAAATTCACATGTATCTAAGCACAACAGATACAAAGTTCTTGTGTGTTAGAAATAAATGAATAAGTCCAGGTAATCAATTAATTGAATTATTTATAAATTAATTACTACTAGCTTATTATGTCTTAATTTTATGGTTAGATTAAATATGAAATATTTAATAAATAATATAAAATATAAAAAAATTAAATAGATAAAATAATGTGTGCTTAAATCACTAGTCACATTTATCCATAAATGAATAATAATAGATAAATAAAAATAAATGAAAAAAAAATATTTTAATTTTTTTTACTTTGGTAGAGCGACTCTATAAATTAAATGATTGAAAGAAGTTAATTAAACCCTCCTCGAAGTAATGCGAAAGCGGTTCCGAGGGGGATTAAGTCTCGCTGAAGAGGGGGTGTTTTAGTCCGTAACAATCCTCAAGTCCACTTCTGGACTCTCAGGAAGATATGCTGATTTAAGGTCCATCATCAACTAAAAGTCAAATAAATGATATGATTTTTTTTAGCCTAGTTAAAGCCTAGTATGGGGTAGAGATAAGCCCGCCAGCCATTATAGTGTAAAAGTGCGTAATAGCACTAACTCAAGAAGAAGAAGAAGAAGAAGAATATATGATGAAAATGACATTTACTTCAATTTATTTATCTGACACTAAATTTTGATTTACAATGTAAATACCTTTACCATTTATTTTAAATTTAAAATTTTATTTAAACAGAGCACGTTAAAACATAAACGTTGTAATTCTTATGCGAAGCACATATGAAATGTTTTGTTTTAGTCCGCTTTCCCCGGGTGTTTATCCGTAAAACCTCATTCTTTTCCAAACATTTCCTGACCAACATGAATGATTGTTTTGTGTAAAATATTTATTTTGAAGAGGTCACAGCTTGACTTGTCAAAATGTAATTTTCTATTTTATTTCCTGTGTTATTTGTTGTATGGAAACAACTTTCTAAAGTCGCAAAAACACACAGATAGACCACAGTTACACTGCTACATAGATACTCGGCACATAGATACTCGGTTTACAGATACTCGGTTTACAGATACTCCACTAGGACTTTTATATATTAGCGATACAAAAGTGGTACAAAAAGGTGCGATTTCTTTCATTTTATTTTGGTTTAAGTTTAAGGATTTTTATTTTAAAGTTTACTTTACACTAGCCCCCTTTCTGTCTTTGGTCTTTTGAAGTGAGTAATAATTTTTTTACCCCTACTTTCAATTTTTTCTATGTAAAAATAAACATGTATCTGAAACGTACTTAGAAGGTTTTAGTATCTTTCACTTTGTGTTTTGTTATGTAACATATTGTAAAATAGTTGCACGAAAGGATTTTCTATTTATTTAGTTTCGTTTTTATTTTAACTTCCATTTTTTATAACTTTTTTATATTTTATTTATTTTTTATTTACATTTTTGTTTTCGTTTCTTAGCGGAACTGCCAGTGTAGAAGAGTGGATTTGGCTATTTTATTTACTTTTTCAAAACTCAGAATTCCTTTCTCCCCTTATGCCTTTCTGGTATTATTTAAAGTTACGAAGCCATTTTCTGTTGATTGTTATTTGTTTTGCTTTGTGTCTGACTTAGTATTTGTATTTAATGTGTTTTAAGTAGTATTAGTAACTCCTGCTATTGTTGTTGCTATTATTAAGGAAAATATTGTAATTTGCAAGTGGAAAAGAAATTGCGAAAACTGGAATGAAATAAGAGGGTTGATGAGGTTTTATTCCGTAATTTGTTGCTAAGCCTATTTTAAGACTTCCACACTTAATATCCTTTAAAAGGATTATGTCATTGGATGTATATATCTTCTTGTACAAATACTACATTTCAGTTGTCTACGGTTTGCGTATAATTCCTTATCCTGACAATATGTTTTAATGTTTGTCTAATTGAAAAGACATGTGAGAATATTTTCAGAAACTCGTTTAATTAATCCAATTTAAATAGGAACATCCACATAAGACTATGCATGTATTTATAGATTGACTAATAGGATATGAAGAAAAATAGAAGAAACTATGTATAAAGTTTCTTTTTTTATTTGGCATTTGAAGATATTTATTACTCTTGATAAGTGTATCAATATTCAACATATGAAAGGAACTATTAGTTAAAAAATGATGAGTTTTCTGCTATATATGTAAAGAGTTAATGTAAAACCACAAAATCCGAAATGTTTAAAGGTTTAATGCATTTGTTTTGAAAATATTAAATGCAAAATAATTAGCCGCTTCGACAAAATAAAAGCTACTTCAACAAAATAAGAATTTCTTCGGTAAAAAAAGAACTTCTTTGACCAAATAAGAACTACTTCGACAGAATAAGAAATACTTCGACAAAATAAGAACATCCACGACAAAATAAGAACTGCTTCGACAAAATAAGAACTTCTTCGACAAAATAAGAACTACTTCGACAAAATAAGAACTGCTTCGACTAACTAACTCAACTTCACTGACTTTCTGATTGCAACCGAATATTGCATGACAGCTAGGGTTGCGTATAAATGCCTTTTTACATATATATTTTCATAAGTATGGTTAGTAGTGTACCCAATACATGTAAGTTATAGTCTAAAATTATAATCTATTATATCTTTAATCTGTTAATCTATTTATTATATCTATTATATGTGCTCTATATGGAATGGCAAAGAATTCTTGCATATATAATACAAATTAGTAGCATTTGACTATTTAATAATGTTATTGCAGTCGTGTTCAGATAATATAGTATCATGACGAACTAATTAATTTAATATGAAAACCGATAATCAAACTGGTTATCTATCTAATTAAAATATAACTTAGGTTAGGTTAGAATGTATAGGCGATCCAAACGGATTCTCTTAGGTCCATTGCGTTATCGTATAAGGTATTAAATCAGAGGTTGACAAAGCTAAAAATGTTATTAAATGTTATTTGTTGGCTGAGTTGGCAGTTGGCTGAGATCCTCAAAAAGTGGGGCTCCTAGAGTAGTAAGGAGATGCTGTGCAAGTGCTAAGCAAGAACAAAACAGATCGGAGGCACTTTCAACATCCTCTCTAAAATTACTTTAAATATAATTCAAACGGAGATTCAATCTTCTAGCATAGTTTCTTAATCTATAATGACCTGCGAATAAACCTACCATAATACTGATACCTCTACGGAGCATCTCAAGGAGATGATTGGATTATTTTTTGCTGGAACATGACTAAATTGCATACAGAAAAAACCGTCCTGTATGTACATTGGATTGAGTTCAAGAACTTTAAAGCAACTTGTCTGTATATTTTTGTAAAATATATCATCCACTTTTAGCGAAGCTATAGC